TTCTACTTCAGGAGGGGCCAGCTGCTGCACCTCATCAGAGGAGACTGGATGCACCTCAGGAGGCTGCACTTCGGCCCTTGCTGCCTAATCCCCAACTCCAGTGCCTTGCTCTTCTTCTTCTTCTTCTTCTTCTCCCCCCACTGCCACCAACTCAGCCTCGAAGGTTGGAGGAAACATAGTGCGCCCCTCTGCATCACGCTCCCACCTCAACGTGATCTGAGGTCGGAAGTCAGCACAAAGACTCTCCCCATCTTCCTCCACCCCTTCTTCTTGTTCCCCAAAGGTGACTGTTGTCACGTCCACCTCTGGGTACTGGGCCTTCACTTTCTTTCTACAGTCGGTGAAGGCCACGATTGCGGTTGGCAGCCAGTAGAGTTTGAGGATGTCCTCGAAGGTGCTGGAGTTGAGGAAGTTGCCAATGTGCTCCTCCATCCCGTTGTGAACCAGTAGGTTCACATTCTTCTTCAGCTCCGCGGCTGCTTTCCTCATCTTGTCCATATATTTGTCTTGAGCCTCGAGTTTCTCCTCGCAGATCTTCCTTTTACGTTCTTCGAGGTCGAGCTTCGTGCTCAGGACATCATTCTCGTTCTGAAGCTCGGTCACTGAAGGGAGAACTTCATCCAGCCTCCTCTGCATCTCCCTCTTCTGCTTCTCCCATTCCACCTTCTCCTTCTGCAGCTCATCCTTCTCCCTCTGAAGCTGGTCGCACTGCCTTTGCAAGTTGGCACGATCTCTAATGCTCTCTGCATACTCTTGCGCTAGAGCGTTTGTCTAACTCGCACTCTACAATGCAATCAGAAGTCAGATATCAAGCACAGAACAAACAACTCAAACATACAACCGGAGTAAAATCTAATTATTTCACATACCTCCAGGGCATGCCTCACAATGGTATACCCTGCATGGCTAACCACCTCGTCCTTCGCCCGCATCTTATCCACCTCAGGAAGGGTAGCGTTAAGGAAGTGCTTCGCCCCAGTCTTGTTTGTCGCCTCAAACAAACTTTTCTGGTACATGTGCGGAGGGGTGCGCTCCCTGCCCCCATCAAGGCCTCGCACTTCGACCTCTCCTCTCTCCCTGTCTTCAGGATTGATTTCTGGAGGAGAAGGCTGGGGCACGAACTCCACCACCTCGCCCCCCTTGTTTTCTAGCTCTGCCACCCTCCTCTTCTTCCTCTAGAGAGGTGCCATCTCCTCACTTGCATCCTCACTACCCCCTGTCATAAGCTCCGTCCTTGGCTGCACCTCCACGGCCCGGGCAGAAGTGCTGGGCAGGCGCTCTCTCTCGGGCACCCCTCTGTTCGCCGCAACTGAAGTCGTTGACTTCTTCCTTGGCTTCTTTGGGATGTGCAGTCCCCCAGCAGCATTTGTAAACTCCTCCATCTCAGCTGCCAAAACAAACACAAAGGTCAAAACGCATAAACTAAGATCTAACTAACATAGCACAATGTAAACATACACAGACCTTCGCTCAATGAGCTTGGCCCATAGAGCTCAGCAGCCTCTATTGCCTGCGGATTGGTGAGGTATAGGATGTCCACCACGTCTCCGTCCTCCCTCACCAGCTTCTCCACCTCCCCCACCTCATCCTCATTTAACTTATAGTTGTTCTGCTTGGTTTTCTTAGCTTTCCAAGCAGACAACTGTTCCACTTCGGCATCCCTCCTACTCCACTCGGTGTCGTCCACAAAGAAGAATTTTTCTTTCCACCCTTTGATGGATGACGGTCCAGCAGAAAATAAAGTCCTATTCCCTTTACTGGACGACCGAGGGCCGAAGTAGTACCATCCCTTCTCCCCCCTACCCCCAGCCTTAATTATAAAAAAATGTTTAAACATATTTACTGTCGGGACCCCAACCCCCCGAACTCTGCAGTATACAAGAAAACCTATTACTGCCCTCATGGCATTGGGAGTTAGCTGGGTTATTCCTATACTATAATCTAATAAAAGCCCAACCAGTAATTCTGGAATGGGAAACCTAAGCCCTGCAATCAAATAATACAGGTATATGGGCATCCAATGGTCTCGGGGTGCTGAGCATGCCCTCTCATTCACCCCGACCGGCCAGATTAGGACATGGTGGGGAAGGTTACAGTTTCCCACTAACCCCCTAAGGCTACTCCTACTACCTAATTCGCTCACATACCCCCTCACCTCAGACACTATCTTTAAGTCCGGGTCATAGCACCCATCTACGCCACCCCCAGATTCTAACACGTTTGAGGGGATCTCATCTTCCTCCTCCTCTACTACTACTTCTTCCCTCCTCTCCTCCACCGTCCTCTCCGAACTCGTTGGAGACGGACTGCTCTCCGTATCCATACTACCATACTCCAAAGGCATCACTTCACTCTCCACCACACTCCTGGCCTCTTCTGAAGACATCTCAATTTCTGCATACAAGGGGAGGAGGAACGATGTCAGGACCCTAAACAATTCCAACACACTCAACACATTCTCACTCCCCACCCTAATTTCCTCCAAAAAACACAAAATCAACCACAGAAAGATAGGAAGGAGAATAGCATACCAGCAAAATTGAACTCAAGAATTCAAAATTGAAGTTAAAAATTTGTACATTTTACCTGATTTTGATCTTACGAAACTGTTGTTGAAGTCTTAATCGAAGCGCAAACCGCACGAAACCGCAGAAATTTAGCAGAAATTTCACAAGGATATACTAGCAAAATAACGTGAGTAGAAAAGTCTCCTTTTACAGAAGTATAGCCTTTTATACCAAAGGCAAAATACGCCCCAACGGCTGTGATTAATTCAATCTCACGGCTGCAGAGACACCGTTTCGAATTCGACAGTTAACTATTAAACGACACCGTTTCAAATTCGACGGTTCGCTTTTCAAATCTACCCGTTGGACTATTGCAGTTATCTTTTTTACAGCGGCATTTATTACGCACGTCATTCAGAGGACAGCTGTCGCGTCACGTGCCGTGTCTTAGTCAGACCTCTCAGACGAGCCCATTTAAGCCCATTTCAACACTCCTTTCCACTTTTGTACATTTTAAATTTTGACAAGTATTTTACTTCGGCTACGGCCACAGTGATCCAGTGTCACTCATTTTACTTCGGCTCCGGTCACAGTGACCCAGTATCACTCATTTTACTTCGGCTCCGGCCACAGTGACCCAGTGTCACTCATATTACTTCGGCTCCGGTCACAGTGACCCAGTGTCACTCATTTTACTTCGACTACGGCCACTGTGACCCAGTGTCACTCATTTTACTTCGGCTACGACCACAGTGACTCAGTG